AGATTGCCCCATCTTCCTTCCGAGGAGTGGCTGGTGGGTTTGAACCTCCAGCCTTCCGGTTAGCAGACAAGTGCCTTAGGCACTATGCTACCAGAGCTCCTAAAATATCTTTATTCTAACATCTCTAAGTAAGCTAATACACACATGAAATGTAACTGATAGGTACTCTATGATTGTTAAAATTTCCAAGAAATGGGTAATTTCCACAACTCATATTTTAAACGTTTCCCCAGGGAGCTTAAAACCAGGCCTCAGGGTATAGAAAAAAATATGGTAGATAAATTAATCAGCTGATCATGACTTTTCTGGTTACCTGGTACCACTCTGACAAGAATATACCACAAATGGGATGGTTTAAACAAACAGGAGTTTATTCTTACAATTTGGAGGCTTTAAGTCCAAGTTCAAAGCGCCAGGCTCTAGGGGCTGGGTAAAAGCCCTTCAGCCTTGGGGTCCAGCTCTGCCTCCAGCTGCTGTCCCACTGGAGCTAGAGGTGTTTCTTCACTGAGACAGCTGCCGGCTGCTGAGACTGAGAAGCTCCAAGGTTGACAAGTAAACAGGCACAGTCCTGATGTTACCAAACCACATGGCAGGCCATTAACTTAAGTCCATTGTAAGTCCCAAGGTCAGCAAAGCATAGCAGGCTGCTGAGTAACGACATAGCTACATGCAAGGTCCAAGTGTGCCGTAGGCTAGAGACCATTCCCAATGCTTCTCCTTATATACAGGAAGCAGACCACATACCCAAAGCAGCTACTCAGCTGCTTGTGGTGGATCCCACCATAGAGTTGATTGCCAGTCTCATCATGGGGAGTAACTACCACCAGCTGCCCAGCCACTCAACCAGGCCTACCCGAGTTGACACACAAACATAACCACCACAATGACATTAAGATTAGATTCAAATTTAGCTCTTAAGAGGTCATGAAAGGACATAATCATCGATGGCCCCTGCCTGCTATGAAAAAAAAAAAAAAAAAAAACAGTTGGCAAAATTTAGAATTTTCATTCTTGAACAAATAAAGTGCACAATTTGGCCAGTGCTTTTGCCAAACTTTTTTGGGATTGTAAAAACTACTGGATTGGACAGTTCTACTGGCCAGGGTCTTGGTGATCTTTGTTTGAAATTTATGAAGATTAGACTGTAGGTGTTTCAAAGTTATTACCATGTGCTGACATGAATAACCAATAAAGATCTTGTTTTTTTGTAGGGTTGGATTGATAACATAAATGGACCTACCGGGCTTATTATTGCTGTATGTATAATGATGGGGAAATAACTCCTTGACATGTAGTAGCAGAATAGTAACAAAATGCTTTTGTGTTGGCTTGGCTTCATTGATCCAAAAACATGAATACTATTTTATTAATAACATTTGAAGAAATTTGTCCTATTTCGTTGATTAGAAATAGAGGCAGGATGAAATTACCTTTATTAGTTGTGGATTTTCTTATCAGGAAACTGTTGTTGTTGTGTGCCGTCGAGTCGGCCCCGACTCATAGCGACCCCTCCTTGGGTTTCCAAGGCAGTATCACTATGGAAGTAGGATTGCCCAACCTTCCTTCCGAGGAGTGGCTGGTGGGTTTGAACCGCCAGCCTTCTGGTTAGCAGTCAAGAGATACTGTAATATCATCAATTACTGTTTAAGGGTTTTATTGTAGAAAATCTTTGTGTATCAGAACCTATGCATGTCTTTTCCTTTGGTGACCACAAGATGGGGTTATTTCCTTATTAACAGCTTAGTGCGGTGCATTGAGGATGCCCTAAAAGCCATGATGTTAAGTTCTTGAGTCTAAAATATATACATGCATTTATGTGTGCAGATGGATGGACAGAGATAGATATATAGATATAAAGCACCAATAACTAGTTCTTAACAGATACAAATTTTTCATATATAAAAATTAACTAATAGAAAACACTCTTTCAACAATAGTTCTCTTGGAGCAAGGGGAAACTTCAGTTGTTTGTACTGGCTAGTTGCTCTATGTATGAGTCTCCTTGAAGTGTAATGCTTCACAGCTCACACTAATCTTAGGACCAGACCCACAACTTTAGTCTTTTGGAAAACAAGTAGGAATTCCATGATCTAGATGAGTTTAAATTCTACTAGGCCTCAGAGTCTTTCTCTGCTGTTCTCAAAACTCATTGCAACATGAATTGAAATACAAATACAAAACAGGGAATGATGACTTGTCAAAGACAGTGACAATGAACTTCATTCTGACTTTGATTTTTCTAGCAGCCCCTATCTGCTCCCTACCTGGTTCTCTTTCTACTTTAAGTTTTAGTGGGGGTGAAAATTTGGTGATTTGGAATGTAATTATTTTAACACGATCCTAGACTGGTTTTGATACATTGTTCACAAAGCTGCTTATTTAGTCAAAGTTTCTAAAATTTTCCAAACTGGTTTCTTATGTTCAAAAGAAGGTCAATTACTTATGACAAAGACAGGAACTAGGAACATATGAAAGTTTTAACTACTGCAAAACAATGTTGTAAATATACAGGGTATAAGTAATAAATTTACTTCATGAAGTCAATAAATGATTAACATGAATAATTTCCAAACCTTGCATCCATATAACATTGGTTATCTATGAGGTAAACTAAGATACTGGAGAAAAATAATGGTGGCTTCTTTGAAAGCAATAAAAAAGTTTTTGCTAAATGGTAGAATGTTTCTAATAAATATTTTTTAAACCTTTACAGCCTACTATTGCTTGTAAGTTAGTAAGCACTAGCATAATACAAAATCATTTAAGAAATGGTAAACTACCGTTAAGGAAAAATTTGTAAAACCTTACATTTTTATTGTTGTAAAAGTATATACCATGGCCTCAGCAAGCCTGAAACTAGAACTAGATGTGGCCTGGCTACCACTACAGACCAATCTGATCAGGATCATAACAGAACGTCCTAGAAAGAATGGGAGAAAAATGTAGAACAAAATTTCAAATCATATAAAAGACCTGACTTGGGCAGAGACTGGTGGAACCCCTGTGATTAAGGCCTTTAGGCACCTTTCAATCCTGGAACTGAACCTACTCCCAGAGATCCTCTCAGCCAAACAATCAACAGGCCTATAAACTGAATAATAATATCTGTGAGGAATGTACTCCTCAGAACAATCAACCATATGCAACCCAAAGGGCAGCATTTGAGCAGGAAAGATGGGTGAATGCAAATGGGGAACCTAAGGAGCAAGTGGGAATAGTGCAGTTGTACTGAGGAGATCGCAAATACTGTCACAAAGCAAAATGTGCATGGATTGTTGAATGGGAAACTAATTTGTTCTGTAAATCTTCACCCAAACCATAATAAAAAATACATATGGCATATATGCCACCATTATTTTTCTCTAGTACCTTAGCTTTATATATGTATATAAAACACAACATTTGCCAGTTCCGCATTCTTCACCAGTACAATTCAGTGGCACCAATTACACTGATCATGTTGTGCAACCATCACTAGTACCTGTGTCCAAGTGCAGTGCTCCCTAAATAATGACCCCTTTTCCGCCTCCCTCCTGCTCCTGGTAACCACTAATAAACTTTGTTCTCTATACATTTGTCTATTCTGTATATTTCATATAAGTGAGATCATACAATATTTGTACTTATGTGATTGATTTACTTCACTCAGCACAAGGTTTTTAAGGTTCATCTATGTTGTAGAATGTATGAGTACTGTGTGTCTGTGGAAAACCTTAATTTGTAAAATGTCTTAAGCATTAATTTTTAAGATGGAAAATCCTATCTTTGGTGTGTATTAATTAACTAAATATACTAACCTCACAGAAATGTGTGAAATTTTATTCCTTAAAGAAACATGAGAAAAATTAGTGGTTCATGGAAATGTTAGCACTCAAAATGAACTTGACAGGAAGATTGGATGGGCTAAGAGCTAGCATACTTATCCCAATGACCTAGTGAGTAGTGAATCAATGTTAACGTCTATTACAAATAGCGTTAGTATTACCTATTTTATATATACTTTAGTCCCAGATGTTACTTAAGACCTGGTGTAATACATTCTGTTCTTTCTTTCTATGCAGGCTGGGAAAGGCTTTCTTCGGGCCTTAAGAGCTACGCCCATGGCTGTAGCAGACTTAGTTCCCGTTGATATCGTTGTCAATCTCACCCTGGCAGTAGGATGGTACACTGCAGTTCAAAGGTGGGATCCTTAGACTTTCTTTCAAGGATTTGTTGATGACAAGGGTGAATACTTTTAGCACATTTTCAAAATGTAGACATTTTATCATAGAAGACCCAAGTGTGAGAGGGTGTCTTTTTCAGTATTTTATATAGTTCCAAGTATGCTATCAGATATGCATTGAGTTGTTTCATAAATACTGCAGAGTACTGGTTGATCATAAAGTAATTAAACCCTTTTAATCATTTAACCCTAAAATTCTTGAGTAACCAAAAAAGTATTTCTTTCTACTCAGCAATCTAAAATACTGGTTTGTTTGTTTGTTTGTTTGTTTTTTAAGCAAAGGAGACAAAGTGAATAAAATTAGAGCATTTTTAATCATTCATCTGGCTACTCGGTTCCTGATAAATGTCAAAGTTCAGATCAGTACGTGTGGGAAAATTTCTAGTACAAAGGGGAAAAAAAAGGTTGCTTTGCATTTGGCTACTAGCAAATGCAAAATTTACATGTAGAAGTCTGAATGTTCTCCAATCCAGCAGAGTTTAACTGCACTTAGAAGAAAACATTGCCTATTTGTCCAATAAAAATATCCAGAAGTTAGAAATATGATCTGCTTTCTTATCCACATGATACTTCCATTTGCTCCATAAATGTCACACTTACTTTAATCATGTCTAAGCATTATTTTATTTTATCATTCTTTCATTAGTTTTCTATTTTGTTGTATTTATCTAATTTTTATTTCCTTTTCCAGACCTAAATCTACACTAATCTACCACTGCACATCTGGTAACATTAATCCCTGTAATTGGGGTAAAATGGGTAAGTGCCTATAACTATGTAATTACATAACTGCTAGAAGGGAACAAAACAGACAAAGTGTGTCATGGAGCTTAGAGTCTAGTGGGGGACAAAGAAAAAAATCAGTAAATAGACAAAATAACTGCAAACTGTGCACATATAATAGTTAACCAGAATATACCATGGTGTACCAAAGAAGGGTCAGTGAGAACAGTCCACATGTGTGTAGGCAATATGGGACCCACTGTATACAGAGATTTAAGATAATAATAATAAAACCAGGCAAAAAGTCAGCAATTGTAAGCAATGTCAGTGATAACATACTTCTCCCTCCTGGGTCAACTGTTCTCTCATACATATCCCTACCCCTTGGTATACCACTAAGAATGTGAAATGAGTAGACTTACAAAAGTGAAATAATAATATAATTTTGTTATCGATTTATACAGCCAGCCATAAGTGCACTCTGGAAAGTATCTTGTTGAATTAAAGTAATTAATCTTACATATAATAAAAAATTAGCTGTCAATCTTATACTCTGTTAAATTAGGAGTTGATTATTTTTGTGTGTTAAAAACTAAAACTTTCAAGTCACCAATCTGTTACTTGGGTGTTAGTAAAATAAAAAAAAAAAAATCAAAGGTACTTAATATGTTAGAAACTTGTTTCTGATTTACAGTATCCTATTTGTGAAGTTATTTAGTATATGGGAAAGTAAATTATCTACTGCCATCACAGTTATTTATGTCATATATCTAGTTAGTTAGATCATAGATTATAAAGAATTCTGAAAACATTTGGAAATAAAAACATATCTCTTCTACCTCAGTAACAATTAAGATATCTAAGACTCCACACATCAAAATGGCATTGATAGAAACAAATAAGATACCTTAATCTCTTAAATACAAAGATGCTACATGTAAAGCTCATTCTTTAAGATTAAAAATAGTCATCTTCCATCTTGAAAATATGGACTTAGTATCCGACTTGTGGAATTATAGCATGTCACAGTTGAAAGTGATCTTAAAAATAAGTGTCCCACTTTATTTTATATAAGAGACCAGAGAGAGTAAATCATCTACTCAAATTCATAAAGGAAGGTGGTACCTGAAATAGAAGTAGAAACCAGGTCTCTTGCCTCTCTTTAATGTGCAGTAACAGCCCTCTAGGAATATGAATCATCCTGGGAGAAATTAGGTCCAGATTTCTAGGATCAAACTGTTACATGGTACTGAGGAAGCTAAATTTTTAAAAAGCACCCAGGTAATTCTTAATGCTGGTGGAACACACTTTGAGAAATCCTGCACTATATAAACCCTCTTTTGACTTGTCTGCATGTAAGGGAGTTCATCTATCCAATGCACAAAACTGATGGAAATAAAGTTGAATACAATTCAGACATATAATGATGGTGGAGGATGGGTCAGAAGTTAGGCTATCCTGCAGGATTCTGTAGAACCTCCTAACATACCCTTTCTTTCCCTGTGGCAGATACATAGGTAACACTGTATATGCACATCCCAATGACAAGTCATGGTACCAAACTGAGAGTACAATTGCAGGACAGCTAACTACTCTTGCTCTTTCTATGATAGGCTTTGATTTGAAGACTTTCATGGCATGCATGATTTCACTATTTCCCTCACACTCACAGCAGACAAGACTGCACCAACTCTCTGTACTAGAATCCTTTTTAACACAGGATTTTTGGAAACTATTACTAATTAAGGAGCTCTGGTGGCATAGTGCCTAAGGCACTTGACTGCTCACCAGAAGGCTGGCGCTTCAAACCCACCAGCCACTCCTCAGAAGGAAGGTTGGGCAATCCACTTCCGTAGTGATACTGCCTCGGAAACCCAAGGAGGGGTCGCTGTGAGTCGGGTCTGACTCGATGGCACATAACAATAACAACAACATTACTAATTAACTTGATTTTGCATGCAAGTTAAAACCCATTTGTGCTTCCTATCAGAGATTCAAAGAGAGATCAAAATGACCACTATATATAACAGGTGGAACATCCATAGCCTCAGCTAACATTACTGAGCTGCCTGGGTGAACATGGGCTCTCCCTCTATTTAGTTAAGTCATCACTAATGTCTGTCAAGAAAAATTTGCAATCTGCATGTAGGTCTTACACATCTTTAATTGACCTAGGTAATTTATAATTTCTTTGCTAATTTAAATGGTCTCTTTTTTAAAAAGTATGTTTTCTAATTGCTAGTGACAGGTTTATAGAAATACAGTTGATTTTAGTAATGTGGTGACTGCCTGTATGTGGTAGTCAAGGAAGGCCTCTTTGATATTAGCAAAGACCTGAAAGAAGTCAGGAGACAAATCAAAGGAATATCTGGAGGAAGAGTGTTCCAAGTTGAAGGAAGAGGAAGTACTAAGGCCCTAGGATGGAACTGCATTTATTCATATTTCAGAACAGCAAGGAGGCCAGTATGCCTACAATAGAAGCAAAGAAAGAAGGAATGGTAGGAAATACAGACAGAGTGATGAGTGGAGAGAGTGGGGGTGCAATTAATATAAGGTCTTAACCAGAAGCCATCTAATAGATTCTGACTCATGGCAACCCCATGTGTGTCAGAACAAAATTGTGCTCCATCGGGTTTTCAATTTAATTTTTCAGAAGCCAATTGCCATGCCTTTCTTCTGAAGTGCCTCTGAGTAGATTTAAACCTCCAACCTTTGGTTAGCAGCCAAAAGAGTTTGGAGGTTTAACCATTTTTATCACCCAGGGACTCCAAAGTGAGGCCTGCCGACTGTAATAAGTTTGGTTTTCCCTCTAAATGAGATGAAATTCCATTGGAGGGTTCTGAACAGAGGAGTAACATATTCCGAGGTACAGTTTAAATATGGAGAGCAGACTAGAGTGGGGCAAGTATAGTGGCAGAGAGCACTTAGGATCGTCTTCCAATATCCCAAGAATCAGAGAGACAACAGTAGAAATGATAGAGCTGATAGATTTTGCTGTTTGTATGTGAGGTATTATGCAAGAGGAAAATCAAGGATGACTCCAAATTTTTGTCTTAACAACTACATAAATTGAATTATCAGTTACTTAGAGGTGGAAGATTGGTGGAGAAGCAGGTTTTTGTGTATGTATTGAGAAGGGGGTGATTAGTAGTGGAAGTATCAAGAGTTCGGATCTGACTCCACGGCAGTGGTTGCATTGAATTTTTGTTACATATACAAGTGGAAATTTGAATAAGCATATAGGTATATAGAAAATCAAAATTGAATTCTAATGAATAACCTTTGAAAAGAATCATTGAGTTTATAAATGTACATTAAAACTTTTCAATTAAGTTTTGTTGTTGTTGTTGTTAAGTGCCGTCGAGTCGTTTCTGACTCATAGCGACCCCATGCACAGCAGAACGAAACACTGCCCGATCCCGCACCAGCCCCACAATCCCTGCTATACTTGAGCCCATCATCGCA